ATATGTTGAACGTGGGGAAAACATGAGAAAAAGTCAGATTGAAGTGAAACAAGTGTCAACGCCCCTTGGTCCTGTCATTCACTGTATATTTTTTTTATTGTCAATAAATTGCGATGTTAAAAAATCGGGGCAGTTCACAAGATTGTGTCGTGTTTCTTTGCTTATAAAAAAATTGCGTTCATTTAAATTGCCATTGAAACCTTTTCAATCGTAGAAAAATTGATTCGTGATATTTCTCTCAGGTAAATATATTCGAAAAGTGCTTGTTCTTTGGAAATATTAACCATGATATTTTATTTGTTCATTATCTAGTGAATTGACATCACATATGGGTAATAAACAAAGTCACGCTAGTGTTGACGGTCCATTGGGTCATGCAACTATTGTCGCTCCATTGGATTCGGAGTCGTCAGAAATATTTAAATTGAACATCGATTGTTTGGACGAAATATTTGAATATTTGAACGTGAAAGACTTGCATTCATTCGGTCAAACTTGCAAGCGAATGAACAAAGTGGCCGGCGAATATTTCAAACAAAATTATTCATCGGCTGAGAAATTCTGCGAAAAAGATGGAATTTACATGAGATATTTTGACAAAGATGGTGTTTTTAATAAACTCACTCAATCATCTGGTTTCATTAAGTTCATGCCATACATTTCACATTGTTATTGTGACCTTGGTCCACTCAAATATATTAAATCGCACATCAGTGAATTTGAGTCAACTAACCACATTTATCTTAGGTGGCAACGTATTAATAGCAAACGAGTTAAGCATTTTAAACAATTGTTGCCCCAACTGGAAATTGTACAGCATCGAGAATGTTCGATGAATGGTGACTTTTATGATTTGATATTGAAACATTGTAAGAATTTGAGAGAAATTCGTGTTGTCGATTGGGATACCGGTAACCGAAGAAATGGTAAATTCAACTGGTTATTACAAGAATATCCCAAGCTTGAACTTCTAGAATTGAGTACCAGTGATTCCTATCAATTTAAAGAGCTACGTAAATTTTTCGTACGCAATCAAAATGTACAGATATTTTCAACTACCTCAATAATGTTGTGGCAGAATGGTGACGTATTATTAGATTCCAATGCAAAATTGGATATTTTGCAAGTCACAAAATTTGACAATTATAAGTGGACATCCTCATATAGGAAGCACACGTTTGAAACTTCTTTGGAACTATTAATTCGACTCCATGAACGAGGCTTCTATAAGCGACTTTACATTTACATCAGTATCGCTCATGAAGAGGAAATCACTTCATTTATCTCACTTAAAGGTCTCGAGTTCTTGTGCGTTGTTTATTTTGACAAGAGTTTAGCTCAATTGACCAATCTGAGAATATTAATTATGTGTGGGTGTGGGAGTGCTGAGGATATGGAGATTTTGGCAAATGGCCTGACAAAACTCGAACGCCTTTACATTCGTCGTGGTGGAATTGATGACATTATGCCATTCATTCGTCGATCACTGAAATTGAACAAAATCAAATTCATACCACGGTACGATGGTGTAGTTTTGAATTTGGCAATGATGAATGAAGAACGTGCTAAGTTGTCCGGAGCACGAAAAATAATAATTTATACGCGTGACGATGTCTTCTTGGCTACTAAATGGACGACCACAAACGGTGACACCAATTTGAACTTCATCGAAATGAGACGATGGAATTCGATAAAATGGGAAAATTGGAATTAAATACAAATTTTAAGAATAGTTTAGATCAATATTCAACTTGAATTTAAAATATTTTCACAAACATATGCCCACCTCAATCGATGACTCATCGACGATGAGTCACACCATGGTACTATTATTGGTAAAAGCGAATTCATGAGTACAAATAGCGATTTATGTCCGATTTCATATAATTGCACATAATAACACATGTTAAAAAATAAACGCATTCCATTGTATATTAGAAATAAAGAATACATGAATTTATTTATTATTACTTACCGACAATTATTCACACAGAATGTGCCATTAGTTTCATCATAGTTTCAACGGAACATTTTTGAAACGAGTGCATATGTTGAACGTGGGGAAAACATGAGAAAAAGTCAGATTGAAGTGAAACAAGTGTCAACGCC